ATTTATATACATTACTAATAATAAGATTAATTAATAAAATAATTTGTTTAACTTAGTTATGATGGACCTTATCATTATTTAATTACCTAAGTCCATGGACTTTATTATTATTTAATTAGGTCAACTTCATTGTTCCTATTTCAATTAAAATTCATATTCATGCTTCAAGTAGGATAAAGACATATTTTTCCCCAAAATAAAAAAGTGGTGGTATTTTTTATCCCTCTTTAATTTTCATATTGTGCCTTTTTTTTGTAGGGTTTTTTTTCAAAGCTTTTGATTTACCTTAAACATGAGAGAATAAAAAACAAGGAGCAGCAAACGACTAAAACCTTTGGAAAATTCACAAGCAAGATTCAGGCTTCAAAGGTCAGTTTTCTTTATGAAACCAATACAACATTGATCGTTGAGCCTTTTATTTTCTAGGATCTCGTGCGTTTTTTTGCTTTTGCAACTTGCTTGTAGTTTTCTTTCAAGTCAGTTTTTTTTTAAAACTTGTGTTACTAGCAACTTGCTTTATTTTCTTTCGTTTATTATATTTGTGTAGAGCAAATGACATAATCCCACCCAAAGTTTGGGAAAATCCCAAGTTGGTACCCCTGGTTCAATTTATCCCTTTTTGCCACTCTTAATCTAACACCGTTCGCTTGGTTTTAATAGCAAAAGGGTAAAAACGATATTTAAGATAAATTAATTCAAATAATAAAGAAGCCTAGGGAAATGTTGCAAATTAAATTCAAATAATAAAGAAGCCTAGGGAATTGTTGCAAAATGTGTAGAGAAAGATAATGTATGGCAGCTGGAGTTATTGCAAATGTCAGGCGAAAAGAAAAAATTCTCTAACACTCTTACACTTTCTCTTTCAAATGAAAATGCAGATTTTTTTTCTAAAAAATTAACCTATAGACATTAACCCATGAACCTCATCACCTGTGCAACAAAAATGGCAACCATTAATCCCTTTGACCTTCTTCCCATCCCTTAGTCGAACTCGTAAGCTTACCAGATATGGTCTCTCACTATCGCTTTGACTCCTTAACAAGATGAACAAAATCAATATTCCAATGACCATCCTTATCTCCTCATCATCCTTCTAGCTAACGCCCTGTAACGCCCCACTTGAGGTACGTAGTTAAGCTTTGCTGTATTGCTTAAACGTTCATTGATTTAGCTTCAATTAAACTTATATGTTGTTATTTTTGGTTTGGTTGGCCCTTGTTTGAATGGATGTATTGGGTTGGTTGAGTGATTGCCCTGAAAATTATGAAGACTTGGCGAAATGTTGTGTTACAGGCTTCGCCGCGGCGAAGATCATCCATTGGGTTGGTTGAGTGATTGCCCTGAAAATTATGAAGACTTGGTGAAATGTTGTGTTACAGGCTTCGCCAGGGCGAAGAAAAATCTTCGCCGCGGCGAAGAGGTGTTGCAGCCATGGAGTAGCTGCTGGAGTGTTTCGCCGCGGCGACGGAATTGTCTTCGCCACGACGACGGGTCGGCTGAAAAGTTGTAGATATTTTTCCTTAAGGGCAATTTGACCATTCTACCCCTAATTAACAGGAAAAGTGGGGAGTAAAATGTAAGGAAATTTCATGAAAAATATGTTAGTATGGGGGTGTGTTTGTAAGGAATCAAAGGATATGGATGAAATTTTCAAGAAAGAGTAAGGGCAAAATGGGAATGCTTGTGTATAAGTTGAGCTAAAAAGGGTTAAGTGTAGAGAATCCTTCATTTCATCCATTTCCACCACCTCTTCCATTCTCTACTTCTTCTCAAATTTCCTTCAATCTTCCAAGGATTACTAAGGACTTTTTGAGTAGGTTTTAGTAGAGTTTTAATCTAAAGCATACTAAGGTAAGGCTTCTTGCTTTAGATGAGAGTTTTATTATGTTTTGGTTAAAGTCTTATGTTGTGGTTGTTATTTAAAGTTGTAGAGAGAAATCGAACTACCAAAGGAAATGAGAAGTATTAGAGAAGTTATTTCCTCACAAGGTAAGTAAATCCTAACTAAGTTGAGATTTGAGAATTTAATTGAGTAGAGATTGTGTATGTATATGTATGGTTTATATTTGTTGAGATGGATGTAGAAGTGTTGAGATTGCTTGATGTTGGGTTGAGTTTGATTGAAGTGGAATGAAGTTTTGAGCAAACTTATAGAAGTGTTTCCCTTTGACAGGGAAATTAGAGAGTATGAGGGAGCCTTTCTCCCATTTTGGATGATTAAAGAAAAAAGAAAAGTTATAGTTAAAGTAAAGCTTTATATGCATATGAGTTGTATGATGAAATACTCAAGAGAAGCATGAGTAAGAGTAGAAAACCTTAATTTTTGCTACATGGCATAATTGCATCTCATAAGTGCATTAATGAGCATGAGTCACCTATGTGCAGTAATCATGCACTAATTATGCATTAGAAAAAGAGAGTAGAGAAATTGAGTTTAAACTATTCTAAGAGTAGAGAGAAAGACTAGAGAATAAAGAGAAAATAGTGCTAGACAAGAGAATAGAATAGGTTGTGCGATGGGGAACCCGTGAGTAATAGGTAGAGTATTCCCACACGTACGCCGCATTGAGAGAGCGGCATGAGTATGAGAGATAAGTGGTGTAGCCCGTGAGAGTACACGCGGATGAGGGTTATACCCGAGTTTACCCGAGAGAGAGTTTATGTACTCACATGGCCAAGGGTTTCGAATCCATGCATAACCGAGTCCGATCGGCTAGAATGAGTAAAAGTCACAGAGAGTGGGAGTGAATCCCAACCGTGCCTCTGGTCAGATGGGGCCGTGACTTATTAGAGAGAGAGTTAATAGAAAAGAGGTTTAAGAAAGAGAAACAGAGACAGTGAAACCGAAAGAGAAAGCAAATAGAGTAATGGGAAGTGTAAGGAAAGAATTGAGGGGAAAGAGTTACGGGGATAGATGAGTAGAGGATTTACTTACTGAGCCTTATTTTGTGCTCACCCCGTTGTTTCCTATGTTTTTGCAGGATCTAGGTGAGGACACGGTCGGATGGATGTCGACAAGCGAGGGGAAGTGGCTACACTATCCACCTTATTGTTCATAGTTTTATATATGACATGAGTTTTGTACAAAGAATGTCTATGTTTAATAAAAGAAAAATTTGGGCCTAACTTTTTATACTATTTTACATGTATTTTATTATGCATATTTTATGAGAATACGAGTAGAAAGCAGTCATTACACGCCCTCTCTTTCAAGCCTCACCGAATCCTTGCCTCTTGGTTTTTCTGCTTTGACTCCCAAACGATATGAACAAAATCATTCATACGCTTATCATCTTCGTCAGTGGCATTTGGCAAAAATGGTAAACCGTAAACCGACATCAACGACAACCCTAAATCGGTGACTACGAAACGACAACCAGACCTAGACCCATTAACCCGAAACCACCGCACTAGTCATGCAGACACAACCTTGGGAGGAATACGAGCCATCAATGAGAAGAGAAGTCTCGTCGATTAGAGGAAGACGAACGATGGGTAAAGAAAGACGACAGTTCGAGGAGATGGACGATATGGCGACGTGGTCTGTGGCAAGGTATATCGACAATTTATTTACGTATTTTTTGTATATGGTTTGTGCTGGATTTTTCTGTAGATTGGTTTTTTGGTTATATGTTTGGTGGTGGTGATTGGTGTTAGGGTTGTGGTTGTGGTGGTGGTGGTGTTAGGGTGGCTGTTGGGTGGTGGTAGATGGATTAGTGGTGCATGTTTGCTAGTTCAATGGGGGTATGTTGGTGGTCGGTTGCTGACAATGATTGTATGATGGCATTAGGGTAGTTGTTGGGTAGTGGTAGGATGGTGGTAGCATGGGGCTTTAGGATTAGGGTTAAAGTTTTGGTGTAATGGTGGTTTAGGATATTAGTGTTGCATGACAGTGTTAGTATTGGTAGTGGTGTGTATATGGTGATATAGTGGTGGTATAGTGGTGGTACAGTTGACAGTGGTGTTAGGGTGACTTTCAGTATATTGGCTGGAAACCAGTAACAATCTTAAATGCTGCCTGGCAATGGTTGACAACTTCTGGTGTAACAATGCCACGTACTTAGGGTGGTGGTATGGTGTTGATGGTGGTAGTAGGGGGCTTTAGGATTAGGGTTAAAGTTTTGGTGTAGTGGGGCTTTAGGATATTAGTGTTTCATGGCAGTGTTAGTATTGGTGGTGGTGTGTGTATAGTGGTATAGTCGTGGTAGAGTTGATGGTGGCGTTAGGGTGATTTTTGGTATATTGGCTGGAAACCAGTAACTATCTTAAATGTTGCCTAGCAGTGGTTGACAACATCTGGTGTAACAACGCCACATACCTTTGGTGGTGGTTTGGTGGTGGTAGGGTGGTGATAGCTGTTGTAGGGTGGTGGCAGTTGATTTTTTGTTTATAATTGCTTGGTTGTGTTTGTTTATGCAAGCTGAATGCAAATTCCTATGACTTTAAAGTTGAAGTGTTTAGTTTAGAATATGATATACTAAATGTTGATCCGGATGAGTATAATTACATACATTTTATTAAAGATGTGAAACGATGTGTGGCTTCGGAGAATGAGGTTGTCGAAACGAACCCTTATGAGAAGTTTAAGGTAGATGTTGAGCTACCTTTGTCAGGGGCTAGATACATAATGGAAGGAGATGATGATATGAAATTCATATTTAAGCAATATAAGAGTTTTGGCAAGCGAGTGATAAAGGTCTATGTAGAAGCCATACCGGTGGACTTTGTAACCTATAACTTTACTAGAAGCCCAACCAGAGGACAATGAGGGTTTTGTGAGGTAGGATAATGAGGAAGCTGAAGAGGGTATTCTAGATGAGTTGTATTGGAATGTTGAAAGTGATGAAAGTGATCATGAAGAAGACCATGAGAGTGGGCAGGATGGACAAGGAAGTGGGGTGGTAGAGGGAATTGAAATTGGGTAGGGAAGTGGTGGGGTTGAGGGAAATCAAACTGGGCAAGCTAGTGGTGGGGTAGAAGACATTGAAGTTCAAGAGGAAATGTCTGAATACCATGAGGACAGTTCATATGAAGGGTCTACTGATGATGAAGATGCAGTAACTAGGTTTAGCAAGCACATGAAGTTTCAACAGTTTGCATATGGGGATAATGGGAAAATCCACTTTAAAGTTGGTCAAGTGTTTGAGGGAGTTGATCACTTTAGGAAGGTGTTTCGAGATTATGTAATTCAGAGGGGGTTTTCTGTTAGGAAGATTCACAATGAGAGAAGAAGATTTAAGGCCAAATGTAAGCAAGCAAACTGTCCATTTCATCTATATGCTACTTTGATGCCTGATGATGTGTCTTTTCAGATTAGGAAGTATAGGCACACACATACATGCAAGAGGGTTTATAATAATAGAGAGGCAACAAGTGCTTGGGTGGCTGAAAAAATGGGAGACTTCATCAGATCCCAAAAGGGTTCATCAATTAAGCCATTGGTAGACACGTTGGGTAGGAAACACTATATGCAGTTGCCTAGATCCAAACTTTATAGAGCTAATAAGCTGGCAAATGGGAGGTCAAACAAGCTCCATGCAAAGTCCTTTACTGGTTTGTTAAAATATGATCACACTGTCAAACATACCAACCCAGGTTTCATGTATAATGTGAAATCTGTTAGTCCAAAAGGGATTCCAAACTTTCAGAGGTGTTTCTTAGGATTTCCAGCACAAAAGAAGGGGTTTATAGAGGGTTGTAGGCATTTTATAGGTGTGAATGGTTGCCATCGTAAAGGGCCTTATGGTAGAGTACTGTTGTCAATAGTTTCTATGGATGCTAATAGTGGCATTTTCCCAATAGCAATTACCATTTGTGAGATAGAGAACAAGGAATCATGGAGATACTTTATGACCTTGTTGAAGGAGTTTATAGGGGACATTGACCCTATCACTATCATGAGTGATAGACAGAAGGGTTTGGTGGATGCTATACAGACCTGTTGGCCAAATGCTAGTGTTAGACATTGTGCTAGGCATGTTTATGCTAACTTTAGGAAAAAATTCCCTGGGTTGAGGTTAAAGAACTTGTTTTGGGCTGTTAGTAGAGCTGTCAATATCATTGATTTTCAGCAAGCCATGGAAAAGGTTGAAGCTGTAGATAGAAAAGCTCATAGGTAGATGATTGAAAATGATGTGAGATCCTGGTTAAGGCATGCATTCGACCTTGATTCCAAATCCGATCATGTTACAAATAATATGTGTGAAGTCTTTAATAGCTGGTTGGGAGAGAAAAGAGAATTACCTATACTAAGCTTGTTAAAGCATTATAGGAGAAAGGTTATGGTACAAATGCAAGCTAGGGCAAAGGCTAGGAATGATTAGGTCACAACTGTTCCCCCTACAATACATAGGAAAATCAATAGTCTAATTGAGTCCGTTAGGAATGTTAAAGCTATCTGGCCTGAGAGTGATGAGTTTGAAGTGGTGGATAACATCTGCCTTCCCAGTAGACCTTACATCTTAAACCTTCAATCTCAAAATTGTGACTGTGGAATGTGGCAACTTTCTGGAGTCCCTTGTGTGCATGCAGTCCGCTGTTTGCTTTTTAGGAACATTAGAAATATGGAGGATTATGTGGACTCTTCATTGAGGATCACTTCATATGTAAAAACATATGTTGATCACATTCACCCCATACCTGACCCACTTAGTTGGCCTGACTTGCTTGGGGGTAGGCAGAGGTTAGGAGACCCAAAAAGGCCAAAAAAAAAAAAAAAAAAAGGATGTTGATGAAGAACCAAGGATGACCAAAGGTGCAACACTTAGGTGTGGGATCTGTCGAACTTTGGGACATAATAAGAGACGCTGCCCACAAAATCATTCAAACAACAAGAATCAAAGGGTATTTTAAACCTTTTATTTAACATGATTAGTATTGTTTTTGTAATAGAATTTGCTTGCATTAACATTTGTTTTCTATGCTTTGTTTAGAGAGGAGAAGCTTCATTAGCCACAACAAGTCAGACATGTCAACATTGAAGCAACTGTCAAGGGTAGTAGGTTAGTGTAACATCAATCCTTCAAATTTTAACATTGTTACATTACTTCAAACTGTCAAGGATAGCCCCTTAAATTGATTTTATGATTTTTTCTTAGGCACTTAAGGAGTGTGGAGTTGAAGCATGCTGTTGTTTTTTGGTGTGATAAAACTGTAGAAGCATGATGTTGGTTTTTTTGGATGTGTGGAGTTGAAGGATGCTGCTGTATTTTGGTGAAATTTGGGGAAGTTGTACATAGGACTTTGTTTGTTAGTCTTGGTGTGCAAATATGGTGTGATAATATTGTACAGATAGCAACTGATTTAGGTTGTCTATTGTGAATGTTGTAATTGATTTAGGACTGCTGCAGTGGGTTTTTTGATGTAATATGCAGCTTTAATTTTCTGTTTTTGGGCTGTTGATCATCACATTTCAAGGCCAAATTATGTATTTTTCATATATATGTTCAATGCAAAAGTGTTTAACTCAGTATGTATGGTTGTAGTATGATCTTTGATGTTGGTTTTGTGTAAGATGTGTTTGTGTTCAAACTTGAAACTTTTCAGGATGTATGCCAATTTTTAAGAAATATTACTTTGCCATTATACAGCTAAACCCTTAAAATTCAAACAATTGTTGCTAAACTTTCAAACGGTTCAGAGGCATTAGGGTAATTTCACTATATTTGGAAAATAAACTAAAGATAGGGGCATTTTTGGTTTTTTATAGTCTATTTAGTTTTTTATTTGTTAACTAATCTAAAGTCAAAGGTTCAAGGGTATTTCAGTCATTGTTACTCACTGTCACTGTGTCAGATCCATCAATTATTAACAGTGTTAGATTAAGGGTGGTGAAACGGGATAAATTGAACCAAGAGTATCAACTTGGGATTTCCCCAAACTTCGGGTGGGATTACGTCGTTTGCTCTATTTATGTACATATATAGGACAAAATCTCACATCTTCCTGGGGTTTTCACAAAATACACTAATCAGAGTTAATAAATAATAAAGCTTTTATTAAACGTAATTTTGGTGGGTTGATATTTAAGAAAAAAAAATTGTGAAAAGTGACAATAATTGAGTCAAAATGTTGTGACTCATGTTGTGGGAATTTTAGAGGAAGATGAAGGTTATGATTAGTAAGTTAAGGTGCCATGTCGACACCATTAAAGTCTAACGATATCAGGTTTGTTTAATGACATAATCATCAGTGGAAACACATAACCAAACAGAAACACCTATCACTTAATGTCAAATTTTGAGAAGAATTTGATTTATACTATAAAATTAGACTTGGCCATAGGTCAAACCCAATAGGTGGATATAAAATAATATTGAAAAAAACCTCACGACAATAACAAAATATGGACAAGTTTGCGGTGGAAATACGTAGGACCTACAAACATTGCACCACTTATTAGTTAGTCTTAATTATAAGAAACAGAAATATAGGAATAATCTGTCTACACCAAACTTTAAGCGCAATATGAATAAGAAACCTTGTTGTATCTAAGTTCCCCTATTTTGAAATATTATGGTCATAGCTCAATAATATCTTTTTTTTTAATTTCCAATTTTTTTATAACTCAATGATTTATTTTATTGTAAGTAATACCTTTTTAGAATACCAACAACATGAGTAGGCGTGGAGGTTTAGTTAAAGGACAAAGAAAAGTTAAGTCCACTGACAACAAGTGTGATCTTGTCGATAGTATCTCTCAAGATATGCAAAAAACTCATTATGAAGCACAACTCAATAAGGTTCAATCTACTACACACAGTATTGAGAAGTCATGTAATGATCACCATTCTCTTATACAATCAGAAAGAGCAACTAATTCTATTGGTAAACATCATTTAGTAATTTATTTTTTAATGCTTTCCTGATCACCAAATCAATTCATTGTTGTGGCTATCATGTACACTCATTATTATTATTGTTTGTTAATTTATTTAATATTCATCTAACTTGAATTTTGTTTTATTTTTTTATAATAGGAAGAACGGGCATACCGGAAATGACAATAATAAGATTTCATTATGGAGGATATTTTGTCTTTTCACTTACACGAAAGTATATTAATGGTAGAGTGACTCAGAAATACTATGATTTCAATTTGGAGTTCAAGTTTCTCACATACTTTGCTTTGTTGGATTACATAAAAAAGAACTATGATTTTGATATATTTTGTGGAGACAAATTGTTTTACTAGAAGCCAAGGAGTATCATCAGCGATTTTGATGGGCTAGTACAAATTGCTGATGATGATGACGTGAAAAACATGCTTGCAAGTTATCGAAATACTAAGGGAATGTCTGTTAACATGTGTACTCTCTCAAAAAAGGATGACATTGTGTCTTGTTGTCCCGAAGAACATAATCTTGGAAATGTTTCGGGGGAAGTCTACCAAGCATTTTCAGAGGAGCACACATCAGATGTTGGAATTGAGGCATGGACATCCGGTTTTAATTTAAAATTTTTCCATTTTACTTTCATGCATTTTCATTTTCTAAATGTCATGCAGTTCTTGATTTGCTAATTAATAATTATTCATGTAATTTTAGGTCTAAACACTAAAAAAAGGAAAACAAGAGGTCCTACGTGCTGCATAAAAATCATTACATTAGAAAAAGGAGAAAAGTTGCCTATAGAATTTGATGAGGATCATCAAGCTATTGGTGAAAACTCAACATATTTTGTTTGATTTTTAGGACAAATAGTTCGAAATAAATCATGTTGTCCTTTACAATTAAAGGAGTGGAAAGAACTTAAAGAACATGAAATTGACCGTATGTGGACCATTATCGAGGTAAGATGGATAAGAAATAAATATTTATAAAATCTTGTATTCTATTTAATATATTAAAGTGCAGAATTTGATAATTATTTGTCCTATATGTTTTTCAGGAGAATTATATTTGAAGAAGTAGAAGGAAGGAAAGAAGCCATTTTTGGTCACATGAATGCCTTATATAGGGATTACGGATACAAAATGAAAAAAAAAAAAATTTGATTTGAAACCAACTTACCAAAGTCATATGAAAAACAAGCCTAAACTTGTTCATATGGATGACTAGAAGTATTTAGTTAATCATTGGAGTGAGGCAACCTTTCAAGTAAGCATAGCTATTTAAGTAATTTTAGCATAATTATTATGTAATTATAGGATATAAATATTATTGCTTATTTTATCATTATACAGGAAAGGAGTAACAAGAATAAGACAAATAGATCAAAGCAGTCTATGCCTCCTTACATAGGAACTAAAAGTTATGCTCAACTCAAACATTAAATGGCATGAATTTGCTTTCAAATATGAGATTAAGTTTAATAATTCATACTTATTATTTTTAATCAATATGTTTATAACTTTTAGTATGACAGCAAAATAAAAATGGATATACTCCTCGTGTTGAAGTTTGGATTGAATCTTGCAAAAGAGAGAAAGGAAAGCAAGTTGAATCCAATATAGAAGACATTATTGTAATAGCTTTGTATTCTCTTTAACTATTTCTTGATTTTTTATTATGCACACACATCCAAGCTAATTTATAAATTTATTTTGCAGTCACAGTTTGATCGATTAAGAAAACAACAAGTAGAAGGACAAATCTTATTGAATGATGATAAAATATTTGAAGAGATCCTTGGTCCAAAGAAGAATGACTATTTGCGTGCTTATGGTCCAGGAAAAAGTATAATTGAATACTTTGGAAGTATACCAACTAAAGCACAACTTATGAAACAAGTACAAACAACTAGGAAGGAAGCAAATGAAAGGGTGGAGGAGGCAAAAAGGGAAGCAAATGAAAGGGCGGAGGAGGCAAAAAGGGAAGCAAATGAGAAATTAGAAGAAGTAAAAAGGCAAATGGAGGAGATGAATAGACGATGGGAAGAGAAGTTCATGATGATGCTTACAACTCAAGGTCAACAATCTTTAACAAATAACTAAATCCCTTTGGATGAAATTGTAAGTTATTTTGAAAACTACATATATTCGATGAAAACCATTTTTCTTTTACATTAATCATAAAGTGATATGCAATGATTACATTAGTCTATATGATTTAATCTAACTTTTTTTTTTTTTTTTTTCAAATTTGATATTGTAGGTTGGTGGAAATTCTTAAATGGTCAA